AGCCACGTACAGGGTTGGATAAACCAATCCATAAAAAAACCTTTGATGGGGTAGCCTAGTGGTTAAAGCGTTCGCTCGTCACGCCGAGGACCCGGGTTCGCTTCCCCACATGTGTGCTGCTCATTTCTGGTGTTCCCCGCCGGAATATTGCTAAACGCGGCGTAAAAGCATTCTCACTCACCTAATACAGAGATGAGAAGGGGAGGCGATTGGGATGGGCGGGAAGGAGATGGGGAGACTGCTGTATCAGGTAGAGAATCCACTCTAGAGTCGGTAAAAGGGACCACAGCCACAGTCAACAGAACGCACCAAGTGATACATTTACCGCACGACTGTATTTAGTCGTAAAGGTCAGTATTACAAACAGCTGACCTTTCCCCTCCGCTTGTTTGACAGAGAGTACAGCGTGCTCATAACATCTGTCTTTCAAATTAGGTGAGCTATTTGTATGATTGATGAGGGGAAGACCTGCCACGCTTGTTTATAGATTGAAGGGGAGGTCAAGTACCACGTTCTGTGCGGGCTGTTTGACCATATTTGGAAGTAATTCATTGATAAACGAGAATTTATAATAAATGATCTTTAATCCCGTGACATAATTACCATGGCAGTGGATTGAGTTGATGGGCGGTGAAACAGTTCTCAGATTGTTGAGACTATTAAGAAATAATTGATTTGATTAATGATCGATTTATTTCGTCAAGTCAGTTGCTTAATTTTAAGATTAATCGTCTTTTCTCAAGTAATCCCGGGCACTGCATTACGAGGCATTAGGCGCATGTCTACACTTTCCAGTCACACTGACTGTAACTAAACATTAAAGTTTAGATGACACTGAGGTGATATAACATTTATATTGACCGAACGCTGCTGGGGCCTTCTACACAGTGAGCCCGCCACACAGCCTTGACTCATTCTTAACATGCCGCAGCGCACAGACAGCCGATAACCAGTATGTATGCAGCGTCGTACGCAGGCACCTAGTAACAGATGTGTGTGTGTGAGAGAGAGAGAGAGAGAGAGAGTGAGTGAGAGAGAGAGAGAGAGAGAAAGAGAGAGAGAGAGAGAGAGAAAGAGAGAGAGAGAGAAAGAGAGAGAGAGAAAGAGAGAGAGAGAGAGAGAGAGAGAGAGAGAGAGAGAGAGAGAGAGAGAGAGAGAGAGAGAAAGAGAGAGAGAAAGAGAGAGAGAGAGAGTTTATATAAAAAAAGAGTCCAAACCCGATGAATTTCCTTACTACGGCCTGTTACTCCTTCGACGCTATCTTATGAGAACGAAATGTCACTACTGTACGGCGCTGTAGAAATTCAGTGTGCATATATTGTGGCCCTGGAGAATTCCACACCCACGGAGCGTTTAGGATAGTGGGATATGCGAAATACAATCTGCAGAAAAAAATGCCATTCTTTGGGCAAATCGGAGCTTGCGCATTTAGGTCTTCATCCGTGATCAGATGTGGTAATAATTCTGCCGGGAGTCATGAAGTGAATCGTTCGATCTGTGGAGGGGGAGCGTTGTGTGGACACAGAGATGGTGTATGGAGGGGATGGGGGGGGGGGGGGGGGGGGGGGCGTTGTGTGGAAACAGAGATGGTGTATAGAAACAGAGATGGTGTATGGAGGGGGGAGGAAGGGGGAGCGTTGTGTGGAAACAGAGATGGTGTATGGAGGGGATGGGGGGACGTTGTGTGGAAACAGAGATGGTGTATGGAGGGGGGAGGGAGCGTTGTGTGGAAACAGAGATGGTGTATGGAGGGGATGGGGGGACGTTGTGTGGAAACAGAGATGGTGTATGGAGGGGGGAGGGTGCGTTGTGTGGAAACAGAGATGGTGTATGGAGGGGATGGGGGGACGTTGTGTGGAAACAGAGATGGTGTATGGAGGGGGGAGGGTGCGTTGTGTGGAAACAGAGATGGTGTATGGAGAGGGGAGGGAGCGTTGTGTGGAAACAGATGGTGTATGGAGTGGGGGAGGGGGCCGAAGCGTTGTGTGGAAACAGAGATTGTTAATGGAGGGGAGAGGGAGAGGAGGTGGGGGGGGGGGGGGGGGGGGGCGTTGTGTGGAAACAGAGATGGTGTATGGAGGGGGGAGCGTTGTGTGGAAACAGAGATGGTGTATGGAGGGTGGAGGAGGGGACGTTGTGTGGAAACAGAGATGGTGTATGGAGGGGGGAGGAAGGGGGTACGTGGTGTGGAAACAGAGATGGTGTATGGAGGGGGGAGGGGGCGTTGTGTGGAAACAGAGATGGTGTATGGAGGGGGGGGGGGGGGGGGGGCGTGGTGTGGAAACAGAGATGGTGTATGTCGTCTAGCATGACTGGCACCTGTCTGTCATCCGCTTCAGTTTTATGTAGTGTGATACAAGTTCTTTTGTGTTTCCAAACTTGAAACAAGTAATAAAAACGTGTGACCAACATGGTGAGAGTATGACAGCACCTTCTATGAACAGAGCGGCAATGTATTATTCATATTGCCGACAGGGGATAAGGGACTCTACAGTCAGCTGTAATTACACCGCCCCCGGGCCCTGGGGTGCGATCCGACTATGACGTCACTCACGTGGGTCCTGTGTTGAAACTCATAGCCACAGAAATATGTATGTCATGTGACCAGCTATGCGAAATAAGTGGTCGGAGCTAATTGATCGGCAAATTCCAATTAATCAGACTGAGTTGAAAACTGTTGTAATGAATTAATTCTGAATTAAACAACAGGACTGCTCCCTCTCTGAAAATGTATCCTGGGGAGAGTTAGGGGACCGTCCATTTGATGGCCTAGGGGGTGGGAGCTGGGGCGGATTCTTGAAAGAAATAATTATGCCTCAGGTTGTTGTAAAAAAAGAAATTGCCCGCCATAAAAAGTCCTATCTGCCACAAAAATTCCATTATTGCAAGTTGTTATTCTTTTGAAGAAATGAGGCTATTAGTGTTATATATTAAACTATATGGTATTTGTAGCTGCAGCTAAAACCATATCGATCTAATCTATATACCAAACCCACCAACCCCCTCACCCCCTCACCCCCACACCCTCACCCCTCCCCCACCCGAGTATCAAATGGAGGGTACCTAAACCCTCCGGTGTTCAACAACAACAAATAGAGTATATCTCGTTTATACAACTGTATATATCATGTGTTTCCACAACTGTATATATGACTGGTGTATACAACACTATGTATTATGTGTGTATACAACTGTCATGTGTTTATATAACAATACTATCGAAAGTGAAGTTTACACGAAAAAAATCGCGTCCATTGGACGAGAGGCCGGTCATATATGATTGCGAAACTAACGTTAAGCCAGATATGTCTACCCCCTCGTTCCAGGGGATATCCCTGGTGATTTCCTAGCAAGAAGCTTTGTTTTTTATCATTTAGACACTTTAATCTCGAACTCAGTGTTTTGGCGTACATTGAGAAACGTCCGAGTGTTAGACTGCATGTCTTTGATTGAATACCCTCGTTAGGACCTGTCCTAGTGAACAAAACGATGAAATGCACACCTACATTATTGACACGATCTGTCTCTAGACTGACAGTGACTGTCATCAGCATTCTGCAACAATCTATGAAGTTACTTCAGTACCTATTTGACACATCTTTCTCATCACCCCTGATAGACAGGTCAACTGAGAATAGATGACGAACGCATAATCGCCCCAGGTTCATTAACAACTTCCGAAAGCTCCCAATCACGTTAATTGTGTCGGCCATTTTGATGTCCAATATTCCAGGCCTAACGTGTGCCCCACCAGATATATAACTTGTTATCCTATATTCCAGGCCCAACGTGTGCCCCTACCAGATATATAACGTGTTATCCTATATTCCAGGCCTAACGTGTGCCCCTACCAGATATATAACTTGTTATCCTGTATTCCAGGCCTAAAGTGTGCCCCTACCAGATATATAACTTGTTATCCTATATTCCAGGCCTAACGTGTGCCCCTACCAGATATATAACTTGTTATCCTATATTCCAGGCCTAACGTGTGCCCCTACCAGATATATAACTTGTTATCCTATATTCCAGGCCCAACGTGTGCCCCTACCAGATATATAACTTGTTATCCTATATTCCAGGCCCAACGTGTGCCCCTACCAGATATATAACTTGTTATCCTATATTCCAGGCCTAACGTGTGCCCCTACCAGATATATAACTTGTTATCCTATATTCCAGGCCTAACGTGTGCCTCTGCCAGATATATAACTTGTGATCCTATATTCCAGGCCTAACGTGTGCCCCTACCAGATATATAACTTGTTATCCTATATTCCAGGCCTAACGTGTGCCCCTACCAGATATATAACTTGTTATCCTATATTCCAGGCATAAAGTGTGCCCCTACCAGATATATAACTTGTTATCCTATATTCCAGGCCTAACGTGTGCCCCTACCAGATATATAACTTGTTATCCTATATTCCAGACCTAACGAGTGCCCCTACCAGATATATAACTTGTTATCCTATTTCAGGCCCAACGTGTGCCCCTACCAGATATATAACTTGTTATCCTATATTCCAGGCCCAACGTGTGCCCCTACCAGATATATAACTTGTTATCCTATATTCCAGGCCTAACGTGTGCCCCTACCAGATATATAACTTGTTATCCTATATTCCAGGCATAAAGTGTGCCCCTACCAGATATATAACTTGTTATCCTATATTCCAGGCCCAACGTGTGCCCCTACCAGATATATAACTTGTTATCCTTTATTCCAGGCCAAACTTGTGCCCCTACCAGATATATAACTTGTTATCCTATATTCCAGGCCTAACGTGTGCCCCTACCAGATATATAACTTGTTATCCTATATTCCAGGCCCAACGTGTGCCCCTACCAGATATATAACTTGTTATCCTGTATTCCAACTTGTTATCCTATATTCCAGGCCTAACGTGTGCCCCTACCAGATATATAACTTGTTATCCTATATTCCAGGCCTAACGTGTGCCCCTATCATATATATAACTTGTTATCCTATATTCCAGGCCCAACGTGTGCCCCTACCAGGATGTGGAGATGGTGATGGTGAGACAGCCATGTGTTCAGGCCTTCACTCGCCTCGTCAAAGTATGGAAGCCCAACTGCGGATATACGCACAACTGGTGTGTTGGATACGAACGAAGGTGAGCTACCCAATGCATGCAATACACCATGTATACACCATCATGTCTGCCATGTACACTCCACACGGCTAAACACAACCTGTGCAAGTCTTCATCCTAAGACGGCAGTCGATGTACGTACAAGACGACGATGTCAGATGTCAGATACTGGTTTAGAGCGGGCAAGACAATCTTCAGTAGCTAAATATACCCAGAAACAAACATCTTGCATAACGGATCACGTCCCTTTAGTTCGGAGCTGTAAGTGTGACGTGTTGACGATGACTTAGTGATCAGTTACTGACAAGAATACAAACAAATCGTGTAGAAGGTAAACAAGCGCTAACCGCCAATACCGCCGTTAATACCCAGCGTTAGCTGCACGTGCATCACGTGCTGACTCAGTCCCGACTAGTGCCGTCATGCGGCCATGGCTGGCAAATTGACAGCGCAAGCGTTTGTCTATTTCGTGTGGTTTGTTGAAGAAGCAAACAAGAAACCGATCCATTCATTTCTCACAGCTGGAGAAGGAGTCGGGGTCTGTCCGTGAATGGGTTGGCTGAGAACCACATTATCACAGTATTTCAATGAATAAATATTACAGTGAGTGGAATGGGTTCAACGCGCATTGAACAGTGTCCCAGTAACATCACGTGACAGCTTAATGTTTCGGAACCCCGGAAGTGACGCAGGTCTTTGACGTTTACCGCTTTGGTGAAACCTATAAGGAACGGGAATGATGCTGGGTACCTAGATACATTATCAGGGAGATTCTTTACGTGAGTTGCTGACTACCGAGGTGACAAGTTGCATATGTATTTGTTTGTTTGTTGTTTAACGCCGCACTCAGCAATAATCCAGCTGTATGACGGCGGGTTGTAAATAATCGAGTCTGGACCAGACAACCCAGTGATTGGCATCATGAGCATCGATACGCAATTGGGATACGATGACATGCATCGACCAAGTCAGCGAGTCTGACGACCCGATCCCGTTAGTCGCCTCTTACGACAAGCATGGGTTGCTGGAGACCAATTCTAACCCGAATCTTTACGGATCGAAAAGTTGTAAAACTTTGACGAAAGATATGTCGAAAGTTGACGTGTTTCATTGTGGACTTCAGCCAAGCTGTAATGACTTCATACTGCATCCGGGTGATGAGGGACGACCTGTGCATCATGTATTCCATATCACGGTATTACATAATTAGTTGAGGAGCTCGGGAGATGAACCAGTGACGGGGGCATATGCAGGCTCGTTATTGATAATAAACAACGACTTGGGTATCAATATTTCATATGTTGAGAGAAATATAAATAATCACGGATTGGTGTTTGGACACGTGGTGGGATGTTTTCAATAATGTTCTCGCACTGAAGTAAATGTAGGGACCAAACTCAGTTGGACGTCAATCTGTCTATCTCCCGGCGTCAATCTGTCTATATCCCGGCATCAATATGTCTATCTCCCGGCGTCAATCTGTCTATCTCCCGGCGTCAATCTGTCTATCTCCCGGCGTCAATCTGTCTATATTCGTGGCGACAATCAGTCTGTCTATCTCCCGGCGTCAATCTGTCTATTTCCCGGCGTCAATCTGTCTATATTCGTGGCGACAATCAGTCTGTCTATCTCCCGGCGTCAATCTGTCTATTTCCCGGCGTCAATCTGTCTATATCCCGGCGTCAATCTATCTATATTCGTGGCGTCAATCTGTCTATCTCCCGGCGTCTATCTGTCTATATTCATGGCGTCAATCTGTCTATCTCCCGGCGTCAATCTGTCTATATTCATGGCGTCAAACTGTCTATATCCCGGCGTCAATCTGTCTATATTCATGGCGTCAATCTGTCTATCTCCCGGCGTCATGTGTCTATATCCCGGCGTCAATCTGTCTATATCCCGGCGTCAATCTGTTTATATTCGGGGCGTCAATCTGTCTTTCTACATGACGTCACCCCGTCTTAAATCGTCATGCCGAAGACCCGAGTTCGATTCCCCACATGGGTATAATTATCCCCCGCCGCGCGAAAGCGAGAAGCGGGGGATATAGTATTCACGACCGTCCGTACGTCCGTCCGTCCGTCCGTACGTCCGTCCGTCCGTCCGTACGTCCTACCTGTTTGTTGCCGCGATATCTCAAGAACTAAACACTGGATTGTCTTCATATTTGGAACTATGGTGTATATACAGACTCCGCAGACACCAGTCAGTTTTGGTGACCTTGACCCCATTTTAAAGGTCACAGCAGGCATATCTGCTTTTGGAGTTGGAAAACAGTGTTGCCGCGATATCTCAAGAACTAAACACTGGATTGTCTTCATATTTGGAACTATGGTGTATATACAGACTCCGCAGACACCAGTCGGTTTTGGTGACCTTGATCCCATTTTCAAGGTCACAGCAGACAAATCTGCTTTTAGAGTTGGAAAACGGTGTTGCCGCGAAATCTCAAGAACTAAACCTCTCGATTGTCTTCATATTTGGAACTATGGTGTATATACAGACACCGCAGACACCAGTCGGTTTTGGTGACCTTGACCCCATTTTCAAGGTCACAGCAGGCAAATCTGCTTTTGGAGTTAGAAAACGGTGTTGCCGCGATATCTCAAGAACTAATCGCTGGATTGTCTTCATATTTGGAACTATAGTGTATATACAGACACCGCATACACCTGTCAGATTTGGTGACCTTGACCCCATTTTCAAGGTCACAGCAGGCAAATCTGTTTTTGGAGTTGGAAAACGGTGTTGCCACAATATCTCAAGAACTAATCGCTGGATTGTCTTCATATTTGGTACTATGGTGTATATGGCGGGGGATATTTCGTCACTCTGTGACAAATGCTTGTTTGAAAGCTCTTTCCGATGTTCCGCGCTGTGGTATTATGGAATATTGCCAAAAGCGGCGTAAAACCCTACTCACTCACTCACTCCTGCTTGCTTGCTCTTCCCGTATATCAGTGGATCCTGCCTACCAATTGTCCTTCTATAACGTGGTCAGCTTGACCAAGTGGTGAAAGTGTTTAATTCGCTGTGCAGAGTTGCGTCCCTTGGGCACGCCAGAAACCTATGATTGTGGGTTCGAATCCCAGTTCGCCCCGTTTATGTTTCTAGGTTTGTCAGCACCATAACCGTGCTCGTGGGTTTCACCGAAGTGGTAAACGTCTTCGACCTGCATCACTTCGGGCTTTCCTCCCACATTAAGCTGACACGCCGTGATATAACTGGAATACTGTTAAAAGCGGCGTTAAACCCAACTCACTCACTCACTAGATTAAATAGAAAATGACTTTTGCAGCTAAAAAAATACCTTATAACACGGGTCATATTCGTAGATATATGGGGCAAGTTTTCGGGTTTTATTTGTGACTGAGAACATCGTGTGCGTTCATACCTCATCATAACCACGACAGCCAATTAGGCATCCCGACTCTCATGGTCACGGATGAGGTGGTCGCTGGCACGGGCGTAACACTCTCCTTTTCCGGGCTGCCGTCTGGAAGACCGTTCAGTCAAGTCGGGATATAAATAGAGGAACGGGCACGGCCAAGTCCCCCCCCCCCCCCCCTCGGACTCGGCAGCAAGAGGCTCGTGTTTCGTCTCAGCTTCCTTATCACTGTAATCTCATCAAAAAACATCTTTGTGGGGGATTATATGTCATGGCAGAGGCAGAGAGGGAAGCAACGCAGAGGAGATAGAAACTTGTGCATTGCGAGCCTGCAGTGTGTGATCACACCATGCCACACTGCGCATGTCTGTTCCATCTCAGGATCCGGTGACAGTCGTGCTTTAAGAGGAGTCCCACCGACAATGCGTGCATCTATTCTCTTGTTCCTCATGCGAAAATACCAGATATTCTATAATAACTAAGGATATTCAATATTTCAATTCCGATATTGTTCTAAGGAGGGGTGTGTTCATATTCACAGCCTCTATTGCGCACGTTTTAGGCATTTATTCTGAACTTTGTAAACTATCTGTTATCATATTTGCGTTAGGTATTTTAATATCACGTTCGGAATGTAAGCGTCATTGCGTCGCAATCGTTAATCTGGACTATTTAAAAACGCAGTGATACTCGGTTACTTGTCGGTCTCCAACACCCCAGAGAATAAATTTAAAAAGGAGTCCAACTCAAGTCTAGAATGATTTGGCAAGTTGAGATTGCCTCAGTTCTTGCCTACAAGATACTGGTTCTGTGCCAGGAATGTTGAAATATTGTATGTATAGTTTCCTTGATTCCACATATGAAAACAACAGGAAAGGAAAGCTTCTTTTGAAAAACAAATTACAATTATTTTACAGATATGTTTTCAAAAACTAAGTGTTAGTCTAACATGATACAAGAATATTTATTTAACGTCGGTTAAAGGGCAAAAAATACAACAGTAGCAATTTAGAGCTATTTTTCCTACAAACATCAAACACATGTATGTGCAGTAAATAAAGGGAATAAGAACTAAATAAAATACAAGATACAAGATATTTTATTGCGCAAACAGTGACAATATTATATAAACTATAAAAACAGATGCATAATAAGTCAGGATAACAATACAAAATACAAATACAAAATGTTTTGTAATGATCTAGGATTGTCTAAAAGTATTTCAGATTTGTTTAAAGTTGTAGGTATGATATCTGTTCATTACTATATCACCCGGTTCATTATTTGAACAAAAGTAGGCTACATAATTCTGTGATGTTAAGGCTTTCGAAATAATTATTTTCTTGGGCTAAAGAGTTAAATAGGGAATGCCTTACATCTTAAAATCTACTACAAGACATCAAATAGTGTTCTTCTTCTTCAAGGACTGTGCAGTGATCACAGAGACGTTCTTCCCAATGTGTAGGTGATCGTGTTCTTCTACCCAGTTCAATTTGTAATCTGTGATCCCTCCTAGCTTAGTGAGGTACGGTGGGGTTTTTTTATCTTGCAGTGTTGTAAATATGGTCAATTTTAATTTCTGATTTAAATTTTATCTGTGTTTTGTTTGTATCTTGAATTTAATTTATATGGT